CCCCCCCCCCTCCCCCCCGACTCGAGAACTCTAGATTGCCTGCTGAACGGGGAGACACAGCCCGCAATGGGGAGAAGGGACCATTTTGCCCCTGACAAATGGAGACAGCTGGATGGAGGGCCCTGGGCCCCTGCTTTGAGTGTTTTCAGACTAGCCGAGCAAAGGCACCGCACACGAACATGACAAGTAAATCCACTGCCTGGTGGGAGGACAGGTAAAAGAGGGAGAGACACAAGCGGGGATGTGGGTTATAAGGTGGACAAGCCTGGAGCTGGTCCCACCTGATTTTTCTGCTCTCCTTTACAAGCATGGCTCTTGAAAATGTTATCTCTGTCCGCTTCTCCAGCTGCTCTCCTCCCTTTCTCTCTTATACCTACTCCGGTCACGCTTTCATTCCCACCATCTCACTAAAACTGCTGTTGTCAAAATCCAAATGACCTCCATGTTGCTAAATTCCATGATCAGTTCTGAGGCCTCATTAAACTTGACCTTTTAGCAGCATTCGGACACATCTGATCACCCTTCCTCCTCCACTTCATTTGGGGTGGAAACCACCACCTTCTCCCAGTTCTCCTTCCTCACCGACTTCTCCTTCTCACTTTTCTTTGCTGGTTCCTCCTCCTTCCCCCCCCCCCCCCCCCCACAAAACATTGTAGGCCCCAAGGCTCACTCCTGGGACCTCTTTTCTCTATTCACGTGAAGCGACGTCTTCAGTTCCAGATTTGCCATTCCTCTGTACATTGTTGGTACCAAAGCTGTATCTCCAGCCCACACCTCTCCCTGGAAGTCCACACTCCTCTGTCTGGCTGCCGGAGCAATACTCCACTTAGATGTCCGATGGGCATCATAACCCAACACTCCCCAACTCTCCCGAGCGAGACGTGCCACAGTCATTGCCTTCTCCATGTCGACAAACAGCAACTTTTTCCCGTTGCTCAAGCCGAAACCCTTGGCTTCAGGCCTTGACTCTTTTTTTTCTCCTATACCCCATCGGAAAACCCTGTCAGCTCTACCTTCAAAATATATCTGGAGTCGGCATATTTCTCCCCACCTCCACTGCTGCCACCCTGGTCCAAGTCCCCATCATCTCTGGACATCTGGACATCTGAAGTAGCCTCCTTACTGATTGCCCTGCTTCCACCCTAGCTCCCTTGTAGGTCCTTCTCAGCACAGCACTTAGGGTGCTCCTTTTAAAATGTAACCCAGATCTTGTCAGTCCTTTGCTCAGAGCTCTCCAAGGCTTACATCTCCCCCTGGATGAATGCAAGCGTGTTTGCAGTGGCCTACGGGGCTTTAAACAGTCCAAATGCCATTCGCCTTCTAATCTTGCCTACTTCTCTCGGGCTAGAGAACAGACACACTGGGCTCCTTCCTGTTCCTGAAACAATACCCCAGACGCCTGCCCAAGTCTTTGCTCTTGCTATTACCTCTGAAAACTCTTTATTTAAACAGCCACAGGGCTGGTTGCCCCACCTCCGGTTTGTTTTTTTTTTTTCAAATGTCAGCTTCTTACCTATTTAAAATCACAATCCCCAACCCCCTAACCCTTAGTTTTCTCCTGAGCCTTTATCATCATCTGACATTGTCTAGTTTCACTTATTTTATCATCTGTTCTCCTTCCACTAGAATCAAAGCTCCACGGGGGCTGGGAATTTTGCTTTCCACCAGAGCCTCACTATCTGGCAAGTCACAAAAGCCCAACGATTATTTAAGGAAACAAGTGAATGAATGGGCAGTGATAATTCAGGCCACAAGAGGAGAAGGGAAAGGTGTAGGTGATTAGGGTCCTGGTGCAAGAATTCTTCCTATATGCTAGGTGGAGAGAAGAGGTGCCACAGGGTCCCAGAGGCCAGAGGTGGGTCCCACTGAGGACAATCTGCCTATCCCCTTGGGAGATGGGAGATCACTGATTATTTTCATCCTATTCTTTTAGGACCAGGAAACAGTCATCTAAAGACGTCCCCCCAGGAGTGCCGGTCAGTAGGGTTCGCACAGAGGACCTGCGCCTGGGTCCTTCTTCAGGCTTGGAACAGGTGCAGGGTGGAGCCTCGGTGGCGAGCTGCAAGCCAGAGGCCTTGCCCAGGCCAAAAACTCCAGCTCCCTCCGCGGTCCCTAGGGGGCGCTCGGGGCTCTGTTCGAGCGCGAGCGGAGGGGCTCCCACGAGCAGTCCTTGGGTGGGGGGCTGGGGCCACGGCCTCACTGCCGGAGCACCCACCGAGCCTGCAGGCTCTTGATCCGGCCCAGCATGTCCAGGTGCCCGGCCGAGTACTGCTCGATGACGTCCTTCACATCATACGGTCGCAGCGTCTCCTTGAATTTCCTTTTGGCCACCAGGAATTTCAGGATCCTGTCGGGAGAGGGGGGTCTCAGCGGGAGGGGATTCCTTCCCAGCCCCCTTTCCATCCCTTTGCTAACCATTTGCCTACCATGAGGGCATCTTCTGCTTGGGTCACCGCAAACAGCTTCTGCTGGGTCAGGCTCCCAGCCTCCTTCCCTACCCACCATGTTCCACCCTCAGCCCTCATAGGTTGGTTGGTTGGTTGGTTGGTTTTTAATGTGCCTGTATCTGCCTGGGAGGTCAGGGACTGGGCCTGGTTTCTCTATGCTAGCTTGGACACAGGGCAGCCATCTGTGAACACTGGTGATCAAGACCACTTAGGAGAAGACATTTTTGCTTTCACTCCACACATGCTTGTTAGTGCCACTGTGCTGGACCCTGGGTACCCATGGGGCATCGGATCCAACCCCAGGTCTCAGGAGCCCTGCTCTGGGGTGGGAGACAGGACACACAATTATGGGGAGACAAGGGCTGTGTCAAGGAATGGAGAGACCTCTCATAGTCTGGGACCAGGAGAAGGGGGACCTCAGCTGGGGAGGTCAGAGGACAAGTCTTGAGAGTGATACTTTCCATCCCCAAGGCAAGAGGAGGATGAAGGGAGGCTTTCTGGACACAGACAGACATGGAGGCATATGAGTGAGATTCCATTCAAAGTAGCTGGAACAGAATGTGAAGATAAGGGGTCAGTCCCCCCCCTCCACCCCCTGGGGAGGTAGGTGGCACAGAAGACAGGGAAAGAGATTGGCCTTGCAAAGGAGGCTCGTGGGTAGGAGGAAGAGGTACTCCGAAGAGCCCTGAATCCCTGGCAGAGATCAGGCAATGAGCAATTGGGGTGCTGAGGAAGGGGCCCTGTGGTTTCCTCTATGTTAGCATGATGGTTCTGCCAGCCTGTGCGGAGAATGCCCTGGAGGGGCAGAGTCTTGGGCAGGAAGACTAGACCTAGGGGCTGGGCTTGAGCCAGGAGCTGGCAGCTTTAGAGCAATTCAGGACAAAAAGGGACATCAAGGCTTCTGAGTCTGAGTGCAGAATGATGCCCATGGCTTAGGCAACAGGATGGATGGTGGTGCCCCTGCCTGAAATGGGGACACGGGAGGAGGAGCAGGTTTGGGGTATGCTGGGTGTGAGTTGCTCTGTGGGGTGGCCAAGGAGAGCTGACCCAGGCTATGTGGCAGCTCAGGCGATGTGTTCCAGAAGCCTCACTTGGAGGGGGAGAGACAGCATGTATGAAAAGGGGGTGGGGAGAGGCCTCAGACTCTCTGGGGAGTAGAGGGGGATCCAGCTGACTCTGATTTTACAAAGAACACAAAGGAAAGAGCCTGTGGGTGGATGCATCAGCCAGAGAAGAGAGGAGGTGAGTCTGAAAGGCCTGGGGGTGAAGGCGGTCTCTGGAGCTAGAGCTGCAGGCCGGAGACAGAGTCTAGGCCAGGACTCCACGCCAAGAAGCTTGGGGGCTAGATGATGGCTGAGCCATGGCTAAAGGGCTCGGGGGACTCTGGCCCACTCTTGTCAAGGCCGGGAGACAGCCGGTAGAGTCAGCAGGGCAGGGGCATTCAAACTCGTTTAACCAAGACCCACCATAAGAAATACATTTTACATCAGAAACCAGGATACACACACACACACACACACACACACACACACACACACAACTTCAATGTAGGTTTCATAAACATTATTTATCCTTCCTACAGGGGATGCACTCC